GTCAGTCTGTGCCAGGCACTATTCTAAGTGCTTAACATGTTTGATCTCATTTAATCTTCACCAAGGAACTGACCCAAGGTCTCCCAGCTAGGAAATGGCACAGCTGGGATTCAGTCATGCCAGCTAACGCTGTGCTGTGCACTGCTTCACACAGTAGCTGCCCCTCCACCCCTACCACCTTCTTTTCTCTCTGCACCCTGACATTTTCCTCTGTTGCCGCTTGCACTGATCATAGTTCTGATTGAATTGACATATTTATTTGCACTGTGGTTTGCTTACTGTCCATCTCTCCCTGGGCAGGAGGCTGAATGGAGCAGGGGCCTTGCCGCCTCATTCTCAGCTCCTTCTGCAGCACTTCAACCACATCTTGGCCCATAAGCAAGTCCTGCCCATATCTTTGCCCAAGAAATGAATAATTGACAGCTATATCCCACCCCTTCCCCCTTTCTCTGCCTACCAGCACCTTGGTCTTTCACAGCGGGTAGGACTTGGGCTGCAGGTGAAATGGGTTTGCAATTCCCTGATAACCCACCCACCAACCGTGGAAATGGGCAGGAAGGCATCAGCTCTTCCAGATGAAAAACCAGCCTGCAATGCAGCGTTTTCTACCCAGCCTAGGAAGCAAACACCGCCACCTCCATGACTTAGGTTGGAGAAATTCTAATTTACAACACAGTCCCATGGGCCTCATGTCACTTGTCCCTCCTGGCAGTCCCATGGGGAAGGCTGAGCAAGCAGTAGTACAAACTACTCCCTTTTTCCAGATGCAAAAACTGAGGCTTGGAGGTGAGGGGTCTTTCCCAAGGTCATCAGCTAAAAAATAGCAGGGCTGAGATTAGAACCCGCGTCTGTCTGGGTCCACAGTCTGAACTGAACTGTGCTTCGATTGGTCTGGAGTGTAGTCTGTGCACCGGCTGCATCGGCTTACCTTATTTGAAGATCTGCGGCTATATGGCCCACCCTCTAGAGGTGCTGATATAGCTGGTCTGGGATGGGGAACTAGGTACCTGTGTTTCACTCCTTAGGTGATTGCAGTGGACAGGCAGTGCTGGGAATCTCCTCACCCCTCTGAGCCCCATCCTTAGCCCTGGCTGTGTATTTGAATCACTGGAGGAGCTTTTTTTTTTTTTTAGCCTTCTATGATGGTAACAGGGTCTCACTCTGTTACCCTGGCTGGAGTGCAGTGGTGCAATCTCGGCTCACTGCAACCTCTGGGTTGAAGCCATTCTCGTGCCTTAGCCTCTTGAGTAGCTGGGACTATAGGCGTGAGCCACCAGGTCTGGCCAATTTTTGTATTTTTTGTAGAGATGGGGTTTTGGCATGTTGCCCAGTCTGCTCTCGAACTCCTGAACTCAAAGCAATTTGCCCGCCTCGGCCTCCCAAAGTACTGGGATGACAAGTGTAAGCCACTGCTCCCCAGCTGCCACGAGCTCTTTAGCATGCATTGCAAAGGTGAACGTTTCAGTATGTATCTCCGAAGGACATGAATTTTTTTGTTGTTTATTTTTAATGACGTTTTGTTTTGCAATAGTTTGGCTCACAAAAAGTTGCAAAAATAGTAGAGTTCCTGATACCCACCACTCGACTTTCCCTAATGATAACATCTAAAGGATTTTAAAAAATGTAACTGTGGGGCTGCGTGTGGTGGCTCATGCCTGTAACTACAGCACTTTGGGAAGCTCAGGCAGGAGGATCACTTCAGCCCAGGAGTTTGAGACTCGCCTGATCAATATAGCCAGAACTTGTCTTTACAAAAAACTGATTTTTGTGACTGTAATACCATTATTAATAATATCAAATATTCCAATAATCCCTTGTGGTTGCACAATGGCTTATTCTTATATATCATTCCTTCTTCATGTTTTAGCTGGAATTTCTTTTTTTTCTCTTTTAAGATGGAATTTCACTCTTGTTGCCCAGGCTGGAGTGCAGTGGTGTGATCTTCACTCACCGCAGCCTCTGCCTCCCAGGTTCAAGTGATTCTCCTGCCTTAGCCTCCCAAGTAGCTAGGATTATAGGCATGCACCACCACGCCAGCTAATTTTGTATTTTTAGTAGAGACGGGGTTTCTCCATTTTAGGCTGGTCTTGACCTCCTGACCTGAGGTGATCCGCCTGTGTTGGCCTCCCAAAATGCTGGGATTACGGGCATGAGCCACCATGCCTGGCTTCTTAGCTAGAATTTTTTTATGGAAAAGAGCTTCTCCTTCATTTCTTTAGTCATTAATCACTCTGTAGTGATCAAATCAATGTCTGTTTTCCTCGGGGAAGCCTTCTCTAACCCTGGAAACCAAATGAATTCTTTTGGGAAAGGTGGAAAAACACTTGTTTCTTTCCATTTTGTCTATTTTCAAACAGTGACCTCGCTCACTAGCAACACCAGAGACACCAAGAGGTTTCTCTTTATTCCCAGCGTCAATGTGAACTTCTGTATGTAAGCATGTGTGGTAAGGGGGGGTGCGGTAGCTCAAGCCTGTAATCCCAACACTTTGGGACGCCAAGGCGGGTGGATCCCTTGACGTCAGGAGTTCAAGACCAGCCTGGTCACCAACATGGTGAAACCCTATCTCTACTAAAAATACAGTAAAAAATACTAAAATGGCTCACGCCTGTAATCCCAGCTACTTGGGAGGCTGAGGGGGGAGGATCACTTGAACTTTGGGGGCAGAGGTTGTGTGAGCCAAGATCATGCCACCGGATTCCAGCCTGGGCAACAGAGCAAGACTCTGTCTGAAAAAAACAAAACAAAACAAAACAAAACAGGAAACCAAACGTACATGGTGTGTTTCAGCCTGTTAAACTTACTCTCGTTGTCAAAGCTCACGGTGTCCCTTTTTCAGTCTGCGGTGCCGCTTCTGCTTGGCCCTTGGGCCTTCTAAGAATCCTGTTCATGCTTAGTTTCCTTGTTGCCCAGTGTGACAAGATGTCTTGGCTTATCTTGCATATTTCTTGCCCAGCCACTTTTCCAAGAAGAATGTGGTCGTTTAAAACAAAAACGAAGTTTCAGTGGCCCAGTCGGATCCCAAACCAGCTTAATCAGAATCCCTGGTGGGGATAGGGCCTGATACAGTATTTTTTTTAAATTTTTTTGAGACAGGGTCCCCAGGCTGGAGTGCAGTGGTGGGATCTCGGCTCACTGTAACCTCCACCTCCTGGGTTCAAGTGATTCTCCTGCCTCAGTCTCGCGAGTAGCTGGGACTATAGACATGAGCCACCACACTCAGCTAATTTTTGTTTTTTTTAGTAGAAACAGGGTTTTGCCATGTTGGCCAGGCTGGTCTCTAACTCCTGACCTCAAGTGATCCAACCGCCTTGGCCTCCCAAAGTGCTGGGATTACAGGTGTGAGCCACCATGCCCGGTCAGGATACAGTATTTTTTAAAAAGCACATCCAGCCTTGGATGGAAAACCACTTGAGGAGAGTATACTACCTTATCCGGCTCTGTAAACGCCTTATGTTTGCGCAAGGCTAGAACTTTGAGTGGAGTCCTTGGCTAAAGCTCTCATGGCTGCATGGTGACCTCTCTTCCTTCTGCTGCTAAAACTTGTGTTTCAGAATTTAGACCCAGATGCGTCCGTGTTGAAAACCAGGCTTGGTCTGTGTGTCTGTCCCTTTCCTTGCCTGCATGATGTTGAGCTGGGGCTCATCTTGATAACTGCAGGAAATAAGTTCTTTGATAGCTTGCTTAGAGTCTCTCAGTACTTCCCCTTGCCTTTAGAATGCAGACCAAAATATGTGGCCTGCAGTGTAGACTGTGCACAGCCTTCAGTGTAGACTGCTCGGGTCCCCTCTTGTTTCCTGGAGTCTGCCATCCTTCCTTCTACTGCTGGGCCTTTGCACACACAGCTGTCTGCTGGGAATGCCTTGCCTTTCCTCCTCACTGAGTTCTCCTCTACTCACCTTCAGGCACCAGCTTGACTGTCTTCCTTGGGGGAGCCTTCTCTGACCTTGGTGCACCAGATCAGCCCCCATGCGCTTACTTGGTCTCATTGGTAGTATTTCTCTACCTTAAGGGCACCTACCAAGGCCCAGAAGTTGCAGTTTTGCATTTGTTGGTGTAGTCATTAGATGCGTATCTCTCTCTGGAGCCTGACTCTGTGGCTTACATCCTGCCTCCACCACTTTTAGCTGTGGGACCTTGAAGAAATCATTTCATCTCTGGTCCCTGGTTTCTTTTAACTGCAAAACAGGGATAAAATACTTTCATCTACCTTGTGAGGCGGGAATGAAGATTAAATAGGGTAATTTGTGTAAAGCACTTAGAACAGAGCTAGCTATCAATAGTAGAGAATGTTGGCAGGTATTACTGATGATTACTGCAGTGGACCACAAGCTCCATACAGGCAGGGGTCATTTCTGTTTAGATTTGTATGCAGGGTGCTTGGCACATGGGCGGTGCTCAGGAAATACTTGTTGGATGAATGAAAGAATGAAGTGGAAATAATAGTAATACCACGTTTATAGAATTCCATGAGGTTATAAAATAATGCAAGTATATAAGCTCTTGGTAGCATATCTAGCACATAGTAGGTGGTCAATAAATACTCAATGCCCGAATGAGGAAAGTGGGGACAGTAGTAATACCAGCTCATGAGGTCGTCGTGGGGATCTAAGGCAACCCTGTAGTACCTTGTAGAGTGCCTAGCACATAGTAGGTGCTCAGAAAATACTTGTTGAATGAATGAGTGAAGTGGGGATGATGGTAACACCAGCTCCTAGGGTGGTTGCGGGGATAGAAGATGAGGCAGGTCAATAGCTTGTTGTATTCTGGTTGCACCTGGTAGACACTCTGATGAGTGAAACGGGAGGAGCTGCTATGAGTTTCTTTGTCCTGGAGCTTAGGAGAGAATCCTTTTGGGGTACAAAATGGTGTGGAGCGGACGCTGGTCCTCTTGAAGGAAGAATGGGCAACTGACTACTCCTTGCCAAGCTCTGGCCTGGATGAAAAGTTGAATCGTTCCTTTCCCTCTTCCTCCCTAACCTGTTCTTTCTTTCCACTAGAATCCTTGCCCGGAGTCCAGCGCCTCCTTCCTGTCCAGGATCACCTTCTGGTGGATCACAGGGTAAGGCTGGGCCTCTGAGACCTCAGGGAGGTGGGGGGGAATGAATGAATGAATGAATGAATGAATGAGCATGCTGAGCTCCCCCCCTCGACTTCTCCTTCCTTTGCTCTTCTGCAGAGTTGTCTTGAATCGGCCTATGCTGGCCATGTGGTCTCAGAGACACCTACTCTGTCCTGCAAGTTCATGAACTTGAATATGATAAACACATGAGCCGAGAACGGCGTAAACCTCTGCAGATTTGGGTTTTTAAAATATTAGGTATAGTTATTGACATCGTCCCCTTCCCGCCCCCCACTCCTTGGAAAAATAATACTGTCTCACCAACGGAAATGTGGGTTAATGAAACACCTGTGCAGATCAGTAGTAAGCAAACAGCCAGAGGCAACCACTGTCAACATTTTAGTATACGTCCCTCTAGTCTTTTTTTTTTTTTTTTTTTTTTTTTTGAGATGAAGTCTTGTTCTATCTCCTAGGCTGGAGTGCAGTAGCGTGATCTCAGCTCACTATAACCTCTGCCTACTGGGTTCGAGTGATTCTCCTGCCTCAGCCTCCCAGATAGCTGGCACTACAGGCATGTGCCACCAACACCACTGGATAATTTGTGTCTTTTTAGTAGAGATGGGGTTCCTCCATGTTGGTCAGGCTGGTCTTGTACTTGTGACGTCAGGTGATGTACCTGCATTGGCCTCCCAAAGTGCTGGGATGACAGGACTCAGCCACTGTGCCCACCTACCTTCTGGTCCTCTTCTTGTACATCTTTTTCTGCCCATTGTCAATGTCTTACTGGGGATTGTTTGAAGAATCTTTTTCCCCCCTCATATGCATCATTTTTGTTCTTTTGGAGACAGGCTTTTCCTCTGTCGCTGAGGCTGGAGTGCAGAGGCACAATCGTAGCTCATTGCAATCTTGATGTCCTGGGCTCAGGGTGATGCTCCCACCTCAGCCTCCCTAGTAGCTGGGACTACAGGCACGCTCCACCATGCCCAGCAGATTTTTGTATTTTTTGCAGAGACGAGTTTCACCATGCTGCCCAGGCTGCTAACCAACTCCTGAGCTCAAGTGGTTCCTCCGCCTCAGCCTCCCAGAGTGCTGGGATCATAGGAGTGAGCCACCATGCCTGGTCTCATCCTTGTCTTTATGAGCTTTTTACAAACATCTTTTTAAAAAAATTAGGTGTCTTAATTTTTTCAAATTACTATTAAAGAGCGGCACTGGGACAGTTGATGTAATTGGTATATGACTGCAGGACCCTGGATGCATGCTAATAACATTCATTCTTATTTTGGAAAATTGTGCTCTAGTTACGTAAGAGCATGTCCTGGATTACAAGGGGATACCCCTAGTTTTTTGGGGGTGAAGACATGTAGAGCCTACATCTTAACTTTTTTTTTAGGGGGGGTGGGGACAGAGTCTCGCTCTGTCGTCCAGGCTGCAGTGCGTGGCGTGATCTCAGCTCACTGCAACCTCCACCTTCTGAGTTCAGGCGATTCTTCTGTCTCAGCCTCACAAGCATCTGGAATTATAGACCTACACCTCTATAACCGGCTAATTTTTGTATTTTTAGTAGAGATGGGGTTTCACCATGTTGGCCAGCCTGGTCTCAAACTCCTGACCTCAGGTGATCCACCCACCTCCGCCTCCCAAAGTGCTGTCATTACAGGTGTAAGCCACCATGCCTGGCTTTTTTTTTTTTTTGGGGGGAGGAGTCTTACTGTCTCCCAGGCTGGAGTGCAGTGGCGCGATCTCAGCTCACTGCTACCTCTGCCTCCTGGGTTCAAGCGATTCTCCTGCCTCAGCCTCCCCAGTAGCTGGGACTACAGGCGTGTGCCACGATGCCCAGCAGATTTTTCTATTTTTAGTAGAGACAGAGTTCACCATGTTGGCCAGGATGTTCTCCATCTCTTGACCTCGTGATTCATGCACCTCAGGCTCCCAAAGTGCTGGCATTACAGGCGTGCACCATAGCGCCCAGCCAGTGCCAGGTCTTTAACTGTTGAAATGGTTTATAAAAAGATCATGTGTTTGCATGTGTATGTATGCGTGACAGTGGATGGAGAATGATACTGCAAACGTGGCAACATGTTAACAGTGCTGAGTTGAGTGAATTCTTAGTATAATTTGAGTAATTTTTAAAAGGAGTTTGAAATTATTTAAAACAAAAATGTTTTACTTTTTAATTATAAAAGTGTTGAGTCGGCTGGGTACGGTGGCTGACGCCTGTAACGTTAGCACTTTGGGAGGTCGAGGTGGGTGGATTACCTGAGGTCAGGAGTTTGAGACCAGCCTGGCCCATGTGGTAAAACCCTGTCTCCACTAAAAATACAAAAAGTAGCCGGGTGTGGTGGTAGGTGCGTGTAACCCCAGCTGCTTGGGAGGCTGAGGCAGGAGAATCTCTTGAACCCAGGAGGCGGAGGTTACGGTGAGTCGAGATTGCACCACTGTAATCCAGCCTGGGTAGAGTCACATAGAAAGACTCATGTAACAAAACTCAGTAAGCTCATCACCCAGATTTCATGATTGCTAATGCTTTGTCATGTCAGCCTTTTTGTGTTTTTTTTTCCCCCCTCAACCTCTTTCTATTTTTCTTTTATTTATAGGGTCTGTGTCTGTGGCCCAGGCTGGAGTGCAGTGACATGATCACAGCTCCCTGCAGCCTCCACCTCCTGGCTTCAAGCAATCCTCCCACCTCAGCCTCCCTAGGAGGTGGGACTAGAGTTGTGAGCCATTATGACTGGCTAGATTTTTTATTTTTACCATTTGTAGAGATAGTCACCCTATGTTGCCCAGGCTGGTCTTGAAAATCCTGGGCTCAGGAAGTCCTCCCACCTCAGCCTCCCAAAGTGCTAGGATTATAAGCATGAGCTACTGGGCCTGGCCCATATCAGCCGTTTTTAATGTGAAATTTTAAAAAGTTGGTGGGGCATGGTGGCTCATGCCTATAATCCCAGCACTTCTTGAGGCCAGGGTAGGACGATTGCTTGAGCCCAGGAGCTGAAGACCAGCTTGGGCAACATAGGGAGACTCTGTCTCTACAAACATAAAAAATAAAAAAAATTAGCTAGTTATAATGGCTCTTACCTGAAGTCCCAGCTACTCGGGAGGCTGAGGTGGGAGGATTGCTCTAGGCTGGGAGCTGGAGGCTGCAGAAGGCTGTCATGGCATCACTGCACTCCATCCTGGGTGACACAGCAAGACCCTATCACCAAAAGTGAATGAATGAATGATAAAAAAAAAGTAAATTAGAGCCATCCTGATACTTCCATCCTAAATCATCTTATTTTCTAAATATTTTGTATGCACACCCCCTCTGAAAACAAAGCCATTTTTTCCTGCATGACCCAACAGAACGAGCTGTAATTTCCTTGTAATATGTGCAAAATGTCCATCCACATTTGGACTTCCCCAGCTGTGAGGCTGCCTTCATTTGCCGTGGGCAGTTGTGCTGGGGAGGGGAGCAGCATCAGCAGGCATGTGGGGTGAGTTAGCCCCGTCCTCCTCCTCCTCCTCGACTCTCATTGCCTAACCGCCTTGTGTCTTGGCCCCAGGTTGATGGTTCAGGGGTACCGCCAGCCCCTGGAGAGCAGTGACCTCTGGTCCTTAAACAAGGAAGACATATCGGAACGAGTCGTGCCTGTTTTGGTAAAGAACTGGAAGAAGGAATTTGCCAAGTGTAGGAAGTAAGTGTGAGTTTCCTTGTCCTCCAGGATGCCCCAGTCACCTCCTGCCACCCCTGTGGCCTAACCCAGGCTGCGGCCCTGGCAGTGCTGCCTGTTACTAGCCTTATGGTATTGGGCAAGATGCCTCACTTCTCCTCTGGGCCTCAGTTTGCTTTTCTGGCAAATGGAATAGAATCTCACAAGTCATTAAGGCTAGTGGGTAGAAAATAAGAGAGAAGCTGGGCATGGTGGCTCATGCCTGTAATCCTAGCACTTTGGGAGGCCAAGGTTAGCAAATCAGTTGATCAGGAGTTCGAGGTCAGCCCGGGTAAGGCAGTGAAACCCCATATCTACTAAAAATACAAAAAATAGCTGGGCGTGGTGGCGCACGCTTGTTATCTCAACTACTGAGGGGCCTGAAGCAGGAGAATTGCTTGATCCCCGGAGGCAGAGGTTGCAGTGAGCCAAGATCGCAGCCTGGGAGACAGAGCGAGACTCCATCTCAGAAAAGAAGCCAGCAGTTGATGCCATGGCACGTGACTGTCCCTCCTTGAGTCAGTCTCACTTTTTCTGTGTCTTTCTGAGCCTCTGGCATCCCGCATGTTCCTGCTGTTTGAAGTGCTTCTGTCCATTGTGCCCAGCTGACCATGTATGTCTCTTTAGCCAAAGAAGGTCAATTCATGAGTGATTTTGGCTACACTGGCTTTTAGACTCTACCCGCTATGGAAGGCATGTCTCACTGTGCGACCTCTGTCATTCTTTTGGGAATCAGGCCAGAGCCTCCCCTGCACGTAACTTAACCCATCAAATCTAAGACACATCAGTTGCATGATAAGTTATTATTCTGTGTAACAGTTAGAAGGAAAAGCAACTGCCAGTTAAACAAGGATGTAAGACGCGTCCTTCGCCCGGAATTGCCAGAACATGAAATTGCAGGTGACACGAAGGCAGTGGATTTCGGCCATGGGGTAGTGGGGCGGCTGTCTTTGTTCCTGTTGCCTATTCTGGGGTAAGGTTACTATGGTAAGCTGTGATGGGGCCAGTCTGGTGCATTGGATTCTCCACAGAGCCGTTGGCCTTGCAGAGAAAAACCCCAGACCTGGGTTCGGTTCCTCATTCTATTCCGGGGATGCCCAGGATACAGGCCTTCAGTCAGACCCAGATGGCAGGTGGGAATCTGGGACATCTATGGTGCCAGCCACTAGGACATCAGCAGAGGACCTGATGACTCTGGTGGGAGGCTGTTTGGGTGGTCCGGGTGATGGGAGAAATTGTCTTGTGGGAGGCGGATAGAGCTGGGGCCTCCGTGGCTGAGCATCGTAAGGAAATGGCCCATGTCCATGACCCAGTTGAAGGTTCTTGGCAGGCAGAGGTGGGGTCCCTGTTTATTGCAGTTCTTCATGGAGACAGAACTAGTAGGATGGATAAGTGATAGATTAGATGATAGATGGATGGATGGTGGATGGATACATGATAGGTGGAACACTTAGGATGTCAGATGCTCAGAAAGAGGCAGAGAAAGTGAGATTGACTTAGGGAGGGTCAGGCACATGTCCCTCCAAGGAGATTCTCATGTCCTATGGCAGGAGAGAGCAGGTTGCAGGAGACACCATGGGAGAGGGAGAGCCTTGGGAGGAGGACAGAGTTTGAATCAAGATGATAGATAGATGGGTGATAGATAAATGGATGGGTGATAGATAAATGCATAGATGATAGATGGATGGATGATTGATAGATGGTGGATGTGTGGATGGATTGAGGGTGAGAGGGGGTCTGCTAGGCAAACTGGATCATGTGATTATGGAGAAGTCCTATGCTAGGCCATCTGCAAGCTGGAGAAGCTGGAAGCTGGTAGTATGGCTCAGGCCAAGTTTGAAGATCTCAGACCCAGGGAAGCTGATGGAATTCTCAGTCGACAACCAAAGGTCTGAGAACCTGGAGTCACTGGGGTAAGTCCCAGAGTCCAGAGGCCAGACAGCCTGGAGTTTTGAAGTCCAGGGGCAGGAGAGGATGACATCCTGGCCACAGAAGAGAGATCCCATGAATTTGTCATTTCTCTGACTTTTTGTTGATCTGGACCCTTTGCTGATTAGGTGGTGCCCACTCATATAGGGTGAGGATGGATCCTCCATACTGAGTCCACTGATTCAAATGCCAGTGGAAACATTTCAGTCATCTGGAAACACCCTCACAGACACACCCAGAAATAACACTTTACCAGCCATCTGGGTATCCCCTAACCGAGCCAAGTTGATCCCGAGCAGCAGCTCTCGCCAGTATTCCTTCAGCGTCACCTGCAGCGTCGTCCCTCCCCGACACTAACAAGGCCACATATGTACCGTGGGCGTCAGCATTCCTCATCACTCACGTCTCTGCTGATTGCCTGGCTCGGCTTCCTCTCATGGAAGAAGGATGGCCCACCTTTGTGTTCCCTGGAGCTTGCCAAGCGAGCACGTTGCCAGAGACACTGTGGGAGAGGGAGAGCCTCGGGAGGAGGACAGAGTTTGAATCAAGAAGCTCCTCCACTGACCTGGCCCTTAATTCGTGAATTCATGGAGTGGATGAAACTGACTGTTCTTGTGCTTAGTGATGTTTAGTCCTTGAGGGTTCAGACAGTGGACCAAAACAAACACTATTTTTATTTTTTGAGATGGAGTCTCGCCTCTGTCACCAGACTGGACTGTAGTGGCACCATCTTAGCTCACTGCAACCTCTGCTTCCTGGGTTCAAGTGATTCACATGCCTCAGCCTCCTGCGGAGCTGGGAGGACAGGCATGTGTCACCACACCCAGCTAATTTTTTATTGTTTCACCATGTTAGCCAGGATGGTCTCAATCTCCTGACCTCATGATCCAACCCCCTCGGCCTCCCAGAGTGCTGGGATTACAGGCATGAGCCACTGTGCCCGGCCAACAGACACTCTTGCTGGGTGTCATCGACGTTTTGTGTGAGAGATAGGGTGTTGGTAGTGAAACATGCATGATGAGAAGCTTTGGAGAATGATAGTGTTGGCGTGAGATAAAAATGAAGAAATAAGAACTTTGTTTTTTTTTTTTTTTTGGAAATGGAGTCTCTGTTGCCTAGGCTGGAGTGCAGTAATGTGATCTTAGCTCACGGCAACCTCTGCCTCTCGTGTTCAAGTGATTCTCCTGCCCTGGGCTCCCAAAGTGTTGGGATTACTGGTGCGTGCCACTATACCTGGCTAATTTTTGTATTTTTAATAGAGACAGGGTTTCACCATGTTAGCCAGGCTGGTCTAGAACTTCTAACCTCAAGTGATCCTCCTGCCTTGGCCTCCCAAAGTGCTGGGATTGCAGGCATGATCTCCCGTGACTGGCTGAGGGAGGTGTTTTAGATAGAGTGGTCAGAGTTCTACCCAGTGTGGCCTTGACCCTTGGTGAGCATGTGCCTGTTCCTCCCTAAGTTGATCTCATTTTTTTCTCTGCCTCTTTCTGAGCATCCAGCATACTGAGTGTTCTTGCTTTTTGAAGTGTGTTTGTTCAGCATGCCCAGCTGCCCAGGTACGTTTATTTTAAGAAGGTCACATGTAAGCAGAGACTTGTATAGAAGGAGGAAGTGAGTCTTGTGTCTATTTGGAGAAGGAAGGGCTTTCCAGGTAGAGGGAACAGCCAATGCAAAGTCCCTGAGGAGGCTCGAGGTGCAGCAGGGGGCTCATGTGGCTTAAGCAGAGTCAATGAGGGGGAGAAAGGGAGGCGACGAAGCTGGAGAAGGATTCGCAGGGGTCTCCTCTGAGAGTTAGGGTGGGATTCCAGGTGCAGTGAGAACACAGAGGTAGCTTTTCTGCAGGGCAGTGGTGTGACATGAGCTCTGTTGTATTTCTTTATTTTAGAGACAGGGTCTTCCTCTGTTGCCCAGGATGGATTGCAGGGGCGTGATCACTGCTCATTGCAGCCTGAAAATCCTGGGCTCAAGCAATCCTCCCACTGTACCCTCCATAGTCGTTGGGATTACAGGTGCATACCACCGTGCCTGACTTATTTATTTATTATTTCTTATTTATTCATTTTTTTTGAGACAGAGTTTTGCTCTTGTTGCCCAGGCTGGACTGCAATGGCATGATCTTGGCTCACCTTAACCTCCGCCACCAAGTTCAAGTGATTCTTCTGCATCAGCCTCCAGAGTAGCTGGGTTTGTAAGCATGCGCCACACCTGGCTGATTTCTTATATTTATTAGAGATGGGGTTTTTCCATGTTTGTCAGGCAGGTCTCAATCTCCCAACCTCAGGTGATCCCTCCCAAAGTGCTGGGATTACTGGTGTGAGCCACCGTGCCTGGCCTTTTTAAATTTTCTTTTATAGAGACAGGTCTCACTATGTTGCCCCGGCTGGTCTCCAACTCCTGGCTTCAGGCGATCCTCCTGCCTCAGCCTCCCAAGTAGCTGGGATTAGAGGTGTGAGCCACCATACCCAGCTGAGATCTGGTTTATAACAACCCAGGCTGCCCTGGGGAAGGTGGATATTAGAGACGAGAGTGAAGGCAGGGAGACCTGGATGGGGAGCTGGAAGCCTGTCCATGAAATCCCTTCATGCCTCCCTGGGAGCCTTCATTTTGTCTGTTTATTTTGACACAGGGTCTCTTTTGTCCAGGCTGGAGTGCAGTGGCTCTATCTCAGATCACTGCAACCTCCATTGCCTAGGCTGGAGTGATCCTCCCACTTCAGCCTCCCAAGTAGCTGGGACTACAGGCATGTGCCACCACACCTGGCTAATTTTTTTTTGGTAGAGATGGTGTCTCGCCGTGTTGCCCAGGCTGTTCTTAGCTCCTGAGCTCAAGCAGTCCACCTACCTTGGCCTCCCAAAGTGTTGGGATTACAGGCATGAACCACTGTGCCTGACAGGAGCCTCCCTTTTTCAGTCGGCGCATTTTCTGAGAATTCAGTGAGATACAAGCCATAAAAAGCTGTGCCCTAGTCCTGAGTAAACACTGGGAGGTTCAGCTGTACACGTTTTATTTATTCACCTGTACACTTCCATCCTGCCAGGGAGGGTGTGGTGAGAACTGGCTCATTGGGCTTGAAAGTGGGCCACCTGAGAGGGGCCTGGCTCTGTGAGTACCTTGGTGTTTAGGGATGCTCAGCTTGGGGCCAGGGCGTCATTTCCCAGAGACATTGCTAGAAGGATCACTTACTTTATTCCCAGAGGCATAGGCCAGATCTGGCAGCTGTAACCACTGTGGACCTGAAGAGAGTGACAAGGACAACCCTGTCCTAGGCTGGAATTTCCTGACCCCTTATGCCCAGATCCCTTTAGTTAACCGGGGAAGGGAATGCAGCCTGTGCAGCTCTGGGCTGCTGGGTGTCCTAGGCTCGGGGACCAGGTGAGGGAGGCCTGGGCTGGGGGGTCTGCTTGGCTTCTTGGACCCCTTTACCACCTGTCTTCACCTCTGAGTGACTCCTTGTGAAACGGATGTGGTGGGGCATGGTGGCTCATGCCTATAATCAAAGCACTTAGGAAGGTCAAGGTGGGAGGATCACCTGAGGTCATAAGTTTGAGACCAGCCTGGACAACATGATGAAACCTCATCTCTACTAAAAAATACAAAAATTAGCTGGGTGTGGTGGTGCTTGCCTGTAATCCCAGCTACTTGGGAGGCTGAGGCATGAGAATTGCTTGAATCTGGGAAGCGGAGGTTGCAGTGAGCTGAGATCGTACCACTGCACTCCAGCCTGGGAGTGCACTCCATCTCAAAAAAACAACAAAAATCCCGAAAAGCAGGTGTGCGATCTCCCTGCTTCTGCCTGTGGGTTAAAAAACCCAGTGCTTCATTGGTTTGTGTGTAACAGTTTTATGTTCTCTTCTGTGTGTCACCACGCAGAGTTAGGGCCATTTTGGATTGTGGCTTCTGGTGTGAATGTAAAATGCTTCTGTAACCCTGGAAGAGTTTGGCAGTTTCTTTTTTAAAGTTAGACATAGTGACCATACAGCCAGCCACCCTCTTGCCAGATAGCCACCCAAGAGAGCTAAGAACATATGTTCATAAAAGGCTGGAGGAATGTTCTTAGCTACTTTATGATAACCCAAACTGGAGGTAAGCCAGACATCAATTAGCAAGGGAACAGACAGATGTACCCATTATGTGCATCTGTGCAACTGAATACTAAGTGATGTACAAGAACGAACTGTCGGCTGGGCACAGTGGCTCATGCCTGTAATTTTAGCACTTTGGGAAGCCACGGTGGGTGAATCACCTGAGGTCAGGAGTTAAGACCAGCCTGGCTAACATGGTGAAACCCCGTGTCTACTAAAAATACAAAAATTAGTTGAGTGTGGTGGCACACACCTGTAATCCCAGCTACTTGGGAGGCTGAGACAGGAGAATCGCTTGAACCTGCGAGGCGGAGGTTGCAGTGAGCCGAGATTGTGCGCCTGCACTCCAGCCTGGGGGACATAAACCCTGTCTCAAAATAAAAAAAAAAAAAAAAAAAAGACATTTGATTTCAGGATGCCTGTCAAGTATGACAGAGGTATTAAGCACTTAATCAAAATAAGATCATAAGTCACTGTAAAATAATACCCATTTATCCAAAGTGATAATTAAAAGGTTTTTTTTTTTTTTTTTTTTTTTTTTTTTTTGATGGAATCTTGCTCTTGTTGCCTAGGCTGGCGTGCAATGGACCTATCTTGGATCACTGCAACCTTTGCCTCCCAGGTTTAAGTTATGCTTCTGCCTCAGCCTCCCGAGTAGCTGGGGTTATGGAAATCTGCCACCATGCCGGGCTGATTTTTTGTATTTTTAGTACAGATGCAGTTTCACCATGTAGGCCAGGCTAGGGTCTTGAACTCCTGACCTGAGGTGATCCACACACCTTGGCCCCCCAAAGTGCTGGAATTACAGGCATGAGCCACCACGCCCTGGCAATTAAAAGGTTTTAAGACTAAGAAACCTTTTTTTTTTTTCCCTGATAGAGAAGAAACTCAATTTCCCAAATAATCAAAAGGTCTGTATAAGACAGCAAGAGACAGAATCTGTCTTTGGGAGGCTAAGGCAGATGGATCACCTGAGGCCAGGAGTTCAAACCAGCCTGACCAACATGGTGAAAACCCTGTCTCTAGTAAAAAATACAAAAATTAGCTGGACATGGTGGCGCATGCCTGTAATCCCAGCTACTCAGAAGGCTGAGGCAGGAGAATTGCTTGAATCCAAGAGGCAGAGGTTGCATTGAGTCGAGATTGCACCATTGCATGCCAGCCTGGGCAACAGGGCAAGACTCTGTTCCGAAAAAAAGAAAAAAATCCCTGTAAAATGAAGACTACTTTTCTGATGACAGCTTTTTGAGATATTCATATACCACACGATGTATGTAAGTGGACAGTACAGTTCACTGATTTTTAGTGTGTTCACAGAGTTGTGCAGTCATCATCACAGTCAACTTGATTTGCTTTTTAAGACAGAGTCTTGCTCTGGCCCCGAGGCTGGAGTGCAGTGGCGAAATCTTGACTCATTGCAATCTCCTCTTCCTCCTGGATAAAGCAGTTCTCTCGCCTAGGCCTCCCATGCTGGGATTACAGGCACCTGTTACCGTGCTTGGATAATTCTTTGTTTTTAGTAGAGATGGGGTTTTGCCATATTGGCCAGGATGGTCTCAATCTCATGACCTCAAGTGATCCACCCACCTCGGCCTCCCAAAGTGCTGGGATTACAGGCATAAACCACCACCCCCAGTCAAATAAAATTTTTTTTTTTTTCTTTGGAGACAGAGTTTCACCATGTTGGCCTGGCTAATCTTGAATTCCTGACCTCAGGTGATCCTCCTGCCTTGGCTTCCCAAAGTGCTGGGGTTACAGGCGTGAGCCACCACAACTGGCAAGGACGCTTTGTTCTTTCACACTGATCTATACATGACTATCCCTTTGCCTGTCTTGATGATTGTTGTTGTTTTTTACTTTTTCTTTTTTTTTTTTTTCCCCGAGACGTTGTCTTGCTCTGTCACCCAGGCTGGAGTGCAATGACACGATCTCAGTTCACTGCAACCTCTGCCTCCCAGGTTGAAGCAATTCTCCTGCCTCAGCCTCCCAAGTGGCTAGGATTACAGGTGCCTGCCACCATGCCTGGCTAATTTTTGTACTTTCAGTAGAGACAGGATTTCACCATGTTGGCCAGGCTGGTCTCAGATTGACCTCAAGTGATCCATCCACCTTGGCCTCCCAAAGTGCGGGGATTAGAGGCGTGAGCCAGCGCGCCCTGCCGTGATTGTTGTTTCGTATTGTTTTGAAATCAAGAAGTGTGAATCCTCCCACTTGGTTCTTCTTTTTGGCTGTTCTGGGTCCTTAAGTTTCCATATTAATTTTAGGGTTAGCTCATTCATTTCTCCCAGGAAGCCAGCTGGGCTTCTGATAGAGATTGCCTTGACTCTAGATCAGTTTGGAGCCATCACTTCTCTATGTTTTTCACTTGTTCAACTCAGTTAATCTTACCTGCCTTGGAGGTAGGTCCTACTTTTATCCTCATTTCACAGGGGAGGAAACTGAGGCCCAGAGAGCTTAAGGACCTTGCCTGAAGTCATGCAGCTGGCCAGTGGCCAAGCCCTAGTTGGCAATGGTGGCTCTCCAGACCGTGTGTGTAATCACTGTGCTGACCTGCCCCTCTCCTTGGGCTTTTCATCTTTGACTCTGCCACTCCTGAGGGGTGACATCCTCTGGCTGTTTGCCTCAGTGGGGGGCTGTGTCTGTGGCAGACCCCACAACGGCTTTACCTCCTTGTGTTCCAGGCAGCCCGTGAAGGTCGTGTACTCCTCCAAGGATCCTGCCAAGCCGAAAGGGAGTTCCAAGGTGGATGTGAATGAGGAGGTGGAGGCTTTGATCGTCAAGTCTCCACAGAAGGAGTGGAATCCCTCCCTGTTTAAGGTCTTATACAAGACCTTCGGGCCCTACTTCCTCATGAGCTTTTTCTTTAAGGCCATCCATGACCTGATGATGTTTGCTGGTCCGGAGATCTTGAAGTAAGACCCCTTCCCTTCCAGGTGGGCTCCGTTTTGCCTCCTTTGGTTGGATCTTTCATTTGCATCACTCATAACCCCAGGGTCCTGAAGCGTGCTCATAGTCAGGTGTCTCCATTTTTACCAGCTTACCTTTTTTGGAAAAAAAAAAAAAAAAAAATAGAGACAGGGTCTTGCCTTGTTGGTCAGGCTGCCGGTCTGGAATTCCTGGCTTCAAGTGATCCTCCTGACTTGGCTTCCTGAGGTGCTGGGATTGCAGAGGTAAGCCACCATCACTGCCCAGCTTTGCTTTATGCTTTACTTAATTACCGTCTTAGTGAAAACTACTTTGGTTACAAGTAACAGAAACCCACTAGGGTCCCCTGAAACCCAAATGGGGAGGATATGGCATTATCTTGGAAAACCAAGAGCAAGGAAATGCCAGCAGATTTCATGAAAAAACTGCAACCAGGGTTGGGCGCGGTGGCTCATGCCTGTAATCCAGCACTTTGGGAGGCTGTGGCAGGCAGATCACCTGAGGTCAGGAGGTCCACACTAGCCTGGCCAACATGGCGAAGCTCCATCACTACTGAAAATACAAAAATTAGCTGGTGTGGTGGCGCACACTTGTAATCCCAGATACTTGGGAGGCTGAGGCAGGAGAATTGCTTGAACCCAGGAGGCACAGGTTGCATTGAGCAGGGGTCATACCACTGAACTCCAGCCTTGGCGACAGAACAAGACTTTGTCTCAAAAAAAAAAAAACACACACACACACAACAAAACAAAACTGTAACCAAAAACCGGGGAGTCAGAAGGGAGGTGGCCTCCCTCTTCCCCTGTTCTCTGCTGCTCTGTCACACTGGGGCCACACAGTCATTCTCTTTCCCTCTCTCATTCTGTTTCCTTGTGTTCCCTGTGCAATTCCTTTTGGGTGACTTGCTGGCGATGAGATAAAGCTAGAGCAATTAGTGCAAAATCCCAAGCCAGAGACCTCTGCTGTGAGCACTTTGGGCCACCTGCACAGTGACAGTCACCACTGTGGACGTGTTTTTCCATCTGTGAAACTGGAGTGATAGTATCTTGCTCAGCTGGCTCAGGAGAAAGTTGCAATGCCAACACTGAAGCCCTCTTCCCTGCCCCCACGTGTCACAAGTCATCCCAGGCCATCTCTTTGCTCCTTCGCAGGTTGCTCATCAACTTTGTGAATGACACCACGGCCCCAGACTGGCAGGGCTACTTCTACACGGTGCTGCTATTCGTCAGCGCCTGCCTGCAGACCCTCCTGCTGCACCAGTACTTCCATATCTGCTTCGTCAGCGGCATGAGGATCAAGACCGCGGTCATCGGAGCTGTCTATCGCAAGGTAGGGGAGGCTGTGCCACTGGCCTGTGGCCTGATTTTGATATCCCCTCCTGCAGCCCTGGGTTACTCCAGAGTGCCAGCCTGGGGACTTCCAGCCCAGCTTCTGCAGCAGTAGGATGATGGTGGCCTCCATGACCACAGGTGGCAGGGACAGTGACCGTCAGGCATTGTACCTCATCAAAGCTGATTTCAAGGGTTGGCGTGTAGATGTCCCTGTGTATCAGCTGTGGGTAATTGAGTTTTTTAGATGGATCAGTGGCCCTTGATGTGGGGAAATTGAAGTTCAGATTCTGGTTCTGTGGTTAACATTCTGTGTTTCAGCTTCTTGTCACTTTTTTTCTTTTTTTTTTTTTTTTGAGGCAGAGTCTCACTCTGTCTGCCAGGCTGGAGTGCAGTGTCATGATCTTGGCTCACTGCCATTTCCGCCTCCTAGGTTCAAGCAATTCCTCTGCGTCACCCTCCTGAGTAGCTGGGATTACAGGCATCCGCCACCATGACTGGCTAATTTTTGTATCTTTACTAGAGACGGGGTTTGGCCATGTTGGCCAGGCTGGTCTCGAACTGCTGACCTCAGGTGATCTGCCTGCCTTGGCCTCTCAAAGTACTGGGATTACAGGCGTGAGCCACCACTCCCAGCCTGTTGTCAGTCTTAATTTGAACTGAGCAGGTGGCACATTCTCTGCATGATGAGAGTATGTAGTAGGCATTTGTGCACATCCAACTTCAAAGGAACCAAATTACCTTCTTGGTCTCTATAAATTTTTTTTTGTCTCAAGGGCAAGGAAACTGCTTGGTGCATAGATCAGGAAGAGACAGTCTTGCAATGTACTTGGGAAAGATGAACTAGATCAGTGATTCTGTGGCCTGTGTGTGAGTTAGAGTCACCTGGAGAGCTTAAAAAAACCGATGAAGGCCGGGCACTGTAGCTCATGCCTGTAATCCCAGCACTTTGGGAGGCCAAGGTGGGAGAATCACTTGAAGGCAGGAGTTCAATACCAGCCTGGTCAATATAGCAAGACCCCGGCTCTGCAGAAAATAAAAAAATTCACCATGAATGGTGGTGAGCACCTGTAGTCTCAGCTACTCAGGAAGTTGAGTCAGAAGAATCGCTTGAGCCCAGGAGCTGGAGGCTGCAGTGAGTCCTGATTGCACCCCTGCATTCCAGCCTATCTGACAGAAGGAGACCCTGTCTCAAAAAACAAAAAACTTCCTGACACCTAGGTTGCACCAGATTCAGTTAAATTGAGATTGCTAAGGTTGGACCCAGGTGTCAGTGTTTTTGTTGTTTATTTATTTTTATTTTTTGAAATAGGGTCTTGCTCTGTTACCCAGGCTGGAGTGCAGTAGCACGATCTTGGCCCACTGCAGCGTCCACCTCCCAGGCTCAAACAGTCCTGGCACCTCAGCCCCCCAAGTAGCTGGGACCACAGGCAGGCACCACGACGCCTGGCTAATGTGTTAGTGTTTTTAAAACTCCCCAGGTGATAGTGTGGGGCCATGTTGGAGGGCCAGTGACTCAGACCAGCAGTTCTCTGCCAGGGAGATTTGCCCCTCCCTAGGGCATGTATGACAATATCTGGAGGCATTTTCGGTTGTCCCAACTAGGGGTGAGGGCACAGGACAGCCCCCCAAAGAAGTATCTGGCCCCAGATGTCAAGAACACCAAGGTTTTGAGACCCTGGCCTAGACCCTCCGTCCTTCAGTGGGATCTGGGACCAGCAGCATCAGCACAGCCTGGGAGTATGGTAGAAATGCAGAATCCAAGGCTGCACCTCAGACCTGCAGAATCTGAAGCTACATTGAAACAACCTCCCCCATTACCCTCAAACAAAAGAAAAGAAAACAAAACAAACAAAACAAAACCCTGGCTGTGTTTGTGCACATTAAAGCTTGTGAAGCCCTGGTTTGGAGGATGCCTAGTGTCCCTTGCCAGTTGAGTTCAAGGTTGGAAGGCAGTGAACCAATCACTGCGGTCCAGGAGGCAGAGGTCTCTGATTGGCCAGCGTGGGTCACATGTCCTCTCTCATGGAGAAGAGATGTAATTGACAGCCCTTCGGTTTGAGGAGGGAGAGTTCCCAAAATAAAAGTGCCATGGATAAGAACGTAGGCTTTGAGAGAGGACACACGCGTCCTGGGCGGACAGGTAAATCGGGAGGGGCGGAGCAAAACTCTGCAGCATTTCCACCCCTGAGAGTCTCCTTTCTCTCTGTGGGCCTGGAGGAAGAGTCAGGCCTCTTCACCCACCACACTCACCCACCCTCCCTCTCCTTTGTCCCACAGGCCCTGGTGATCAGCAATTCAGCTAGAAAATCCTCAACGGTCGGGGAGATCGTCAACCTTATGTCTGTGGACGCTCAGAGGTTCATGGACTTGGCAACTTACATTAACATGGTCTGGTCAGCCCCGCTGCAAGTCATCCTTGCTCTCTACCTCCTGTGGCTGGTGTGTGTTTGACGCCATTCTCTTTTGCATGCAGGGAGGGACTTCTACGTGGGGGCAGCGGGCTGAGGGGGTGGGTGTTGATGGTAATGGCATCTGTAGCTCCCTGGCAGTTCCGGCTCTTGTTCATATTTTATTTTCCAGCCTGGTAAGCAGTTCCTCAGTACAGTATTTTTTTCCTTTCATGAATTGTCAGGAATGGTGGCATGGTGTTTGCATTCTCTTTCCTGGACAGTGCCAGTAATTAACAATGCTGCAATGAACACTCCATATTTCTCCCACTGAATCCTCTGAAACGCTGACCAGGCTCACTTATTCACTAGTCCCTAGTTATGGTGGTCAAGATTCTCTAAATTGCAAGAGATAGAAATCTATCTTAAAGTAGCCTAAGTAAATAAAGGGAACATTGGGGCTGTATGTATCTCAGAAAGCTGGGCATTAGCTTCAGGTGTGGATTGATCCAGGAGATCAAGCAATGTTGCCAGTACTCACTTTCACTCTTTCATGATTTCATAGCCCTTTTGTTCTCTGAGTTGACATCATTCTCAGTGGTACTTTCCCACATGGCTCCATAGCTATGGGCTGATATCATCCTGTCAGAACGACGTGCCAGAGAAAAGAGAAGACAGCATTTCTTTGCACAGCCAGAGTCAGTCTCAGGAAGCACTGTGGCCTGGCTTGGTCCTATTCACGTCCCTGAACCAATCACTATGGCCTAGAAGGCAGAGTTCTCTGATTAGCCGGCTTGGGTCACCTGTCCCTTCCCATGGCAGAAGAGATGTGATTGACAGCCCTTCCATGTGGGGAGGGAGAGTTCCCAAAATAAAATGATGATAAGCAAAGAGGCTGATAGCACAATACATGCCTTGTGCTTTGCTACCTCTGAGCCTTTGCCAGGTGCCTTTTCTTCCATAAGAAATTTCCTTCCTTCCTACTAACTGATGAAAGCCTGCTCATTCTCCTGCTGTAACAAACACCACTTTCATTGATGTCCCCTCCCCCTGAATTAGATGAACTTTCTCCTTTTTTGAATTTTGAATCCCAATAACTTTAGTATGGGAACTCATCTGATATTATTTTCTGAAATAGTTTTTCATTTTCTTTTCTTTTTTTTTTTTTTTTTTTTTTTTTGAGACAGTCTAACTCTGTTGCCCAGGCTGGAGTGCAGTGGCACCATCTCGGCTTGCTGCAACCTCTGCTGCTGAGGTTCAAGTGATTCTCCTGCCTCAGCCTGCCGAGTAGCTGGAACTACAGACTCACGCCACCATGCGCAGCTATTTTTTTTTTTTTTTTTTTTTTAGTAGAGACAGTGTTTCACCATGTTGGCCAGGCTGGTCTCAAACTCCTGACATCAGGTGATCCACCCACCTCAGCCTCCCAAAGTGCTGGGATTACAGACATGAGCCACCACGCCTGGCCCACTTTCTGAAATAATTTTTTTTTGCATGCTCAGTGTATTGCCTCCTCTTGGATGGGTAACATGTTAGCTACTTGCAGACATACAGCATCTGACTTGTTTTTGTGTCTTCTGTGGGTACAACCCCAGCAGTGCCTGGTGCATAATGAGCACAGCTCAAATTATTATCTGGTATTGAATGAAAAGGGTTGACTGGGTGTGACGGCTCATGCCTGTAATCCCAGCACTTTGGGAGGCTGAGGCGCATGGATCACCTGATGTCAGGAGTTCGAGACCAGCCTGGCCAACATGGTGAAACCCCATCTCTACTAAAAATGCAAAAAATTAGCAGGGTGTGGTGGCACACACCTATAATTTTAGCTACTCGGGAGGCTGAGGCAGGAGAATTGCTTGAACCCAGGAGGCAGAGGTTGCAGTGAGCTGAGATTGCACCACTGTACTCCAGCCTGGGTAACAGAGCGAGACTCTGTCTCAAAAAAAAAAAACAAACCATGCCTGTAATACAAGCACTTTGGGAGGCCGAGGTGGGCGGATCACGAGGTCAAGAGATCGAGACCATCCTGGCCAACATGGTGAAACCCCGTCTCTACCAAAAATATAAAAATTAGCTGGGCGCGGTGGTCTGCGCCTGTAGTCCCAGCTACTTGGGAGGCTGAGGCAGGAGAATTGCTTGAACCTGGGAGGCCAAGGTTGCAGTGAGCTGAGATCACACCACTGTGCTCTAGCCTGGCACCTGGTGACAGAGCAAGACTCTGTTTTTTTACCAAAAAAAAAAATAAGGGCTGGACACAATGGCTCATGCCTATAATTTGAACACTTTGGGAGGCTGAGGTGAGTGGATCATCTAAGGCCAGGAGACCAGCCTAGCCAACATGGCAAAACCCCATCTCTACTAAAAATACAAACATTAGCTGGACGTAGTGGTGTATGCCTATAATCCCAGCTACTTGGGGCCGAGGTAGATGAATTGCTTGAATCCGGAAGGCAGAGGTTGCAGTCAGCCGAGATTGTACCACTGAACTTCAGTTCGGGCAACAGAGCGAGACTCCATCTCAAAAAAGAAAAGAAAAAGGAAGAAGAAAAAATTATCTGTTTATTTGGCCATAGTTTGCTTTTTTAAAAAATACATTTGTAGAGCAGAAGGTGAGTAAAGTGTTTCTAATAATAAAACTTAGAAAAAAACCACCAGAATTTAATTATCTGAGAGGCTGCGCACAGATACAGGTGGCATGCACCTGTAATCCTCGCACTTTAGGAGGCCGAGGTGGAAGGATTGCTTGAAGCCAGAGTTTGAGACCAGCCTGAGCAACATAGTGAGACACTGTCTCTGCAAAACAAACAAAGCTGGGCATGATGGTCCCTACCTGTGGTCCCAGCTACTGTGGAGGCTGAGGCGGAAGGATTGCTTGAGCCTAGGATTTCAGAGGCTGCAGTGAGCTGCGCGATCACACCACTGCACTCCTGCCTGGGTGACAAGGTGAGACTCTGTCTCGAGAAGAAAAAAAATATATATATATTGAAATAAATGTCTTTTCAAGCAGATGTCTTGGGGAGTCCACTTTCCCAAAAGTACTACCATGGTAAAAATTTTTTTGAAACATTTCTTTCAGAATTGCCTTCAGGATTGGTTTACGAACCATTAAGCAAATTGTCTTAACATCACATCTTGTTTTAGATGGCAGTCGCTTGAGCTCAGCACTGTTGACACTTGGGGCCAGACAGTTCTTGGTTGTGGCGGCTGTCTTGTTTTTTCGTTTCTGTTTTTTAAGGGACAGAGTCTTGCTTTACTGCCCAGGCTGGAGTGCAGTGGTGCGACCATAACTCACTGCAGCCTCAAATTTCTGGGCTCAAGTAATCCTTCCCACTTTGTCCTCTCAACTAGCTGGGGACTACAGGTGTACGTCACCATGCCTGGCTAAGTTATTAATTTTTTTTGTAGAAATGGGGTCTCATTGTTCAGGCTGGTCTCGAACTTCTGGCCTCAAGCTATCTTCCCTCTGGATTGCAGGTGTGAGCCACTGTACCCAGCCTCAAGGCTCTAAGTTAATATAGCAAAATTAGCAAAGAATGAAGGCACACATGGGGCAGTGTTTAAAGGAAACCAGGTACAGGCTTCCAGGAGTCCCCAGCAGAGTCACCCAAGGTGCACTTAATTCTCTGGCAACCATTATGATTATATGTGTGAAATGTTGCCACCCAGGTACGCTCGGTAGGAGCTCAGTGCTTGGGCTTTTGTTAGGGGTATGGCACCGTTTACTTGGCACATACCAAAAGTCCAGACTCCCATAGGGAAGGCAGTGTTCAGCATAAACCATGTGTTTGTACAAACAGTTGAGGCACGTCTAGCCAGTCTTACCACTTCTGTTAATGGTGGAAACCCTCCTGAAATCCAAGTATGCAGGCGCTAGCTGAGGCCTGAGCTTCTAAGCACCCTTCAGGCAGAAAAAGCAGTCAGGTGGTCGTGTTCACAGTTTTCTTCATACTGCCTTATTACCGTTCTAAAAATGTAAGCTGGGTGTGGTGGCTTGCGCCTGTAATCCCAGCTACTTGGGAGGCAGAGGCAGGAGGATCGCTTGAGACCATGAGTTCAAGACCACTTTGGGCAACATAGTGAGACCTTGTCTCTAAAAAAGAACAGAAAAATAGCTGAGTATGGTGGTGTGACTGTAGTCACAGTTACTTGGGAGGCTGAGTTGGGAGGATCGCTTGAGCCCAGGAATTTGAGACCAGCTTGAGTAACATAGTGAGACCTTGTCTCTACCAAACAAAGAAACAAACCAAAACTCTAAAAATTACCCAGGGATGGTAGTGTGGCTGTAGTCACAGTTACTTGGGAGGCTGAGTTGGGAGGATCACTTGAGCCCAGGAGTTGGAGACCAGCCTGAACAACGTAACAAGACCTAATGGTTACCTGTAGTTGCAGCTACTTTGGAGACTGAAGTAGGAGAATCGCTGCAAATAGCCACTGTACTGCAGTCTGGGCAACATCTCCAAAATTAGAACTCTAAAGTTGTAATTTGCAAAACTCACGTGGCCCAAAGGCTTTGAAGAAGGGAGCACGGACCTGCTTATTCTCCAAGGGATTGGGAGGACCCCGAGAGATGCTCAGGAATAAAACTGCAAGCCTCTAACACCCTGTCGTGGGGTAAAAGTAACACCTTTTGCCCTTAACTTGGTCAGCAGCATCCATGGGGGGTGGAGCAGGTGGGAAATCTGTTAAGGTCCTGGTTTTCTCCTGTCTGGTGAGTGATTAAGAGTCTCCTTTCCTTCCTTAGAACCTGGGCCCATCTGTGCTGGCTGGAGTGGCAGTGATGGTCCTCATGGTGCCCTTCAATGCTGTGATGGCGATGAAGACCAAGACCTATCAGGTAGGGCATGTGTCTCCGAAGGCCTCCAAGCACGGCCTTAGGCTGGGGCCTCTCCATGCAGGTTTTAGTCGAGTTCCTTCTGCTCAGGCCCTGGGGTTCTCCGCCTTGCCTGCCAGTTGGAGTAACCTGGGGAGCCTGAACAAAAAGCTAATGCCCAGGCCCCATATCTGGGATTTGGATTTACTTACTGTGGGTGGGGTCTGGACATCAGGATGTGTTAAAACTTCCCAGGTGATTATATTAGGCAGCCGTGGTTGAGAGCTCCTGACATGTGGTTAGACTTTGTAGGCTGGTGACTGATATCACAAGGTCTGTGAACTTCCGAGAGACAATTCTTGTTTCCTATGGTCTTATTTTATTTTATTTTATATTTTTTTGAGATGGAGTCTTGCTCTGTCGCCAGGCTGGAGTGCAATGGCGCAATCTCAGCTCACTGCAGCCTCCGCCTTCCGGGTTGAAGCGATTCTCCTGCTTCAGCCTCCTGAGTAACTGGGACTACAGGCCTGTGCCACCACACCCAGCTAATATTTGTATTTTTAGTAGAGACCGGGTTTCACCGAGTTGGCCAGGATGGTCTTTATCTCTTGACCTTGTGATCTGCCCACCTTAGTCTCCCAAAGTGCTGAGATTACAGGTGTGAGCCACCGCGCCCAGCCATCCCTGGTCATCTTATGTGTATGTGTGACTGAGCTTTCAAGAGTTGAGTGCAAATTTCCCTCTACTTTTTTCTCCTTATTAGCTCTTACCTTATGCGAGACATGGTGTTAATCTCTTTAATTATATTAATTAATCAATTAATTTCTGAGATGGGGTCTTGCTATGTTGCCCGGGCTGGTTTCAAACTCCTGGGCTCAAGTGATCCTGTTGTCTCAGCTTCCCAATGCGTTGGGGTTATAGGTGCGGGCCACCATGCCTGGCTTTCAACTTTTTGTTTTTGGCGATACTTTGTATTTTAAACAGTTTAAATACCCAATTAATATAGCGTGGTTTCTTATTATAAAAAAGTTTGAGTCAGGCCAGGCTCAGCCCTGAACTTTGAGCATTTTGGGAGGCCAAGGTTGGTGGATCGCCTGAACTCAGGAATTTAAGACCAGCCTGGGGAACATGGTGAAACCCATCTCAACCAAAATGGAAAAGTTAGCTGTGCGTGGTGATGTGTGCCTGTCGTCCCAGCTACTCAGGAGGCTGAAGCATGAGGACCACCTGAGCCCAGGAGGTCAAGGCTGCAGTGAGCCATGCTTGTGCCACTGTACTCCAGCTTGGACAACAGAGTGAGACCCTGTCTCAAAAAAAAAAAGTTTCAATCATACAAAAGTATATAAATTAAAAGGGGCTATCTCCTTCCCTACTCTCTTAGCCACTGCGAATGTATAGAAGCAAATCCTCCTAGAACTTTCTATGTTTGTATATACAGACCTGATTAATGATATAGTTATGTCTGTTTTTTTAATATATGTGGGTTTTTTTCGTTTTGTTTTTTTTTTTTGAGACGGTGTCTCACTCTGTTGCTCAGGCTAGAGTGCCGTGGTGTACTCTCAGCTCACTGCAACTTCTGTCTCCTGGGTTCAAATGTTTCTCCTGCCTTACCCTCCCGAGCAGCTGGGATTACAGGCACCTGCCACCATGCCTGGCTAACTTTTGTATTTTTAGTAGAGACGGCTTTCACCATTTTGGCCAGGCTGGTCTCGAACTCCTGACCTCCCAAAGTGCTGGGATTATAGGTGTGAGACACTATGCCTGGCCATTACAAATCTTTTTGTGATATTATTACCATATCTGTTTTTATCTAAATGGGCTGGTTTGGCAGCATGATTTTGTCTTGTAGTGCCCTGCTTTGGGGACCTCTCTGTGCTAAGCTGTATAGCTTGAACTCATTCTCCTGATCTGGTGCCTTTGGATCCTTAACGGAGATGGTGTGGTTTGTTTCTCTGGTCTGCTGTTGATGGGTAGCGATGGTGTGCTGTGGAATTTCAAATGAGAGCACTTGGCTGCACCAATGGTACCATAGGGAGATGAGTTTCAGAACACAGACCTGTTGGAAGGAGAGGCCTTATGGGGTAGGGATGGGTGGGATGGGTGAGGCAGGGGCTTTGATGGTAGAGTCACCATTTAATCAATCTCTTTATGTGTGGGATTCCCTGAGTGGTCCGACTCTGAACCCACTTCACTCGCTGGCCTCCAGATCATGTAACTTAATTTCTTCCCATCTGTGTGGTCTAGGGATGACTGTAGCACTAAACGATAGAGTTTCTTGTGACTATTAAGTGGCTAAATACATGTAGAATGCTTAGAAAGATGGTGCTATTGGTATTAAAAATATTTAACAATGGCACTGCACAAGTACCCACTGTTTGCAGCCAGTACTAGCCAGTACATGAACATTTCACTATTTTAACAACCGTGGGCCAGGCACAGTGGATCATGTCCGTAATCCGGGCTCTTTGGGAGGCTGAGGCAGAAGGATGGCTTGTGGCCAGGAGTTCAAAACCAGCCTGGGCAATGTAAGGAGACACTGTCTCTACAAAAAATACAAAAATGAGCTGGATGTGGTGGCATATGCCTGTGGTCCCAGCTACTCGGGAGGCTGAGGTGGGAGGATTGCTTGAGCCCAGGAGCTCAAGGCTGCAGGGAGCTACGATCATGTCACTGTACTCCTGCCTGGATGCCAGAATGAGACACTATCTCCAAAAAGAAAAATAAAATAAATAAAAAGAAAACTAGGCTGACAAGAAATAAGAAAACAGGCCGGGCACAGTGGCTCACGCCCATAATCCCAGCACTCTGGGAGGCCGATGTTGGTGGATCACCTGAAGTCAGGAGTTCCTGTTAGCCTGGCTAACATGGTGAAACCCTGTCTCTACTAAAAGTACAAAAATTAGTCATGTGTGCTGGTGGGCATCTATAGTCCTAGCTATCTGGGAGGCTGAGGTAGGAGAATCCCTTTAACCTGAGAGGTGGAGGTTGCAGTGAGCTGAAATTACACCACTGCACTCCAGTCTGGGTGACAGAGCAAGGCTCCATCTAAAAAAAAAAAAGAAAACAGAAGAAAAAACACCCCCACCATCTTTCCTGTGTTTGGGTCAGCAGAATAGGGACTGAATCCCTTCTTTTCTGGAGACCTGAAAGGTTTCTCTTGCCTCTATTCCTGGATTCTTAATTGAGTATGTTTCTCCAATATCTAACCTAACGAGACTTGAAGCGGGTGTTTTCTTTGATAGCAGAGTCCTTTGGTATGGTCTCAGGACCACGAGTACAGCTCACAGGGATTACAGGATCAGCTCTCCCACCCTCAGGAGGCCTGCTTTTAATAGACAGTGATGTTGAGGCTGAGTGCAGTGGCTCACACCTGTAATCCCAGCATAGGAGTTCGAGACCAGCCTGGGCAGCATAGTGAAACCTCATCTCTATTTAAAAGAAGAAAAATCAATATAAAAAGCATTCACATGTCAGAGTACACAATAAAGTTTAAGCAAAACATAGCTGGTAATGGTGAGTGATGGTCTGATCCCAGGGTTGCCCCAGATGTGGTGCTGACTGCCCTTCTCTTCCAAGGTGGCCCACATGAAGAGCAAAGACAACCGGATCAAGCTGATGAATGAAATTCTCAATGGGATCAAAGTGCTGAAGCTTTATGCTTGGGAGCTGGCATTCAAGGACAAGGTGTTGGATATCAGGCAGGAGGAGCTGAAGGTACTAAAGAAGTCTGCCTACCTGGCAGCCGTGGGTACCTTCACTTGGGTCTGCACGCCTTTCCTGGTGAGTGGAGCCCCCTGTTCCCTGCTCCTCATCGTTTGATGTTTTATTGTCTGCATACCTGAAGAATTTTAAAAGGTCACTCTGTCACCCAGGTGCAGTGGCTTCTGCCTGTAATCCCAGCACTTTTGGAGGCCAAAGCAGGTGGATCACCTGAGGTCAGGATTTTCAAGACCAGCCTGGCCAACATGGTGAAACCCTGTCTCTACCAAAAATAGAAAAAAAAAGTAGCCGGGCATGGTGGCGCTTGCCTGTAGTCCCAGCCACTCACGAGGCTGAGGCAGGAGAATTGCTTCACCTTGGGAGGTGGAGGTTGCAGTGAGCCAAGATTGTACCACTGTGCTCCAGCCTGGGTGACAGAGCAAAACCTTGTCTCCACAAAAAAAAAAAAAAAGGTCACTATGTCAGCATGACCCTCCCTGAACACTTGCTTTCAACATTTGTCATCTCCGTTCTCCTTTATTTCATTCACTCTTAGCTTCTAGCCAACCTGTTTAGGAACTCTTCCTTAGCTGTTCACTGTGATATAAGGAGTTGGTGCCAGAATGTAAACCAGTGCCCTCTGCTTCTTGCATTAAGAAAGCCTTGTAAGAAAAAAAGCGTGAGCTGAGCTCAACAGCACACTTGGTGCCATAGTTGGTCTCCATTATGGTGCTGCCTCCCTATTTTGTCACCAACTGGTCACAAAGTGTGGATTGTCAATGTCCTGTGGACCACTTGTCAAGTGTGTTTAGACCACAGACATGGCAGGGTCTAAACACGCTCTAAAATTTACAAATTTTGGGCTGGGTGCAGTGGCTGACACCTGTAATCCCAGCACTTTGAGAGTCCAAGGTAGGTGGGTCACTTACGGCCAGGAGCTCAAGACCAGTCTGGCCAACTTGGCCAAACCCTGTCTCTACCAAAAAAAAAAAAAAAAAAAAAGGCTAGGCATGGTGGTGCCTGCTTATAATTCCAGTTACTCAGGAGGCTGAGACATGAGAAATCCCTTGAACCTGGGAGGCAGAGGTTGCAGTGAGCCGAAATTGAGCCACTGCACTTCCGCCTGGACAATATAGCAAGACCCTGTTTCAAAAAAAAAAAAAGAATTTAAGACGTATGTATTTTATTGTCTGTCTTTCCCCACTAGGATGTCAGCACCAGGTAGGCGTTTGTGTCTTTTTCTGTTGACTGCTGTATCCTCAGTACATAAAACAGTGCATAGCAGGTGCTGAACAAATATTTGTCATCTGTTGTAAAAAAAAAAAAAAAATTATATATATATATTACCTAGGCGCCAGTGGCTCCTGCCTGTAATCTCAACATTTTGGGAGGCCAAGGTGGGCGGATCACAAGGTCAGGAGTTCAAGACCAGCCTGGCCAACATGGTGAAACCCTGTCTCTACTAAAAATAGAAAAATTAGTTGGGTGTGGTGGTTCATTTCTCTAGTCCCAGCCACTCAGGAGGCTGAGGCAGGAGAATCGCTTGAACCTGGTGGGCGGAGGTTGCAGTGAGCTGAGATCACGCCACTGCACCCCAGCCTGGGTGACAAAGCAAGACTTCGTGTCAGAAAACAAAAAAATCATACAAAAGGATATGAAATGAAAAGTATATTGTCCTCTGTTACATCAGTTCCTCTCCTCCAAAGTGACAGTTTTGTGTATGCTTTTAGAGAAAAATGTACAAGCATATAGGTACTTGGAAATATGTAGACAGATTTAAATGGGATCATACTGTGCATCGTGTTCTTTTTTGTGTAGCTGATAATATATCATCTTGGCTCATTCATTCTGATCTGCTTCATTTTGGGTTTTTGTTTTGAAAAGGGGTCACACTGGGTCCCCCCAGCTGGAGTACAGTGTTGGAATCATAGCTTGCTACAGCCTTGAACTCATGGGCTAAGCAATCCTTCTGCTTTAGCTTCTTAAGTAGCTGGGACTGCAGGTGCACCGCTACCACGCCTGGCTGGCTTCATTTGTGTTCGTGATGGATGCTTGCCTGGCGTGTGGATGTGTCCTGCTGGAATTAGACTTTCTCCCATTCCTTGCAAAAACAGGTGGTTTCCTGTTTTTTTTGCTGTTAGGATCCAAGCTACACTAAGTGTTGTGGTGCCTCTCCTGGGGAACAGTCACAGGTCTATCCCTGCCTAACTGGCTTGGAAAAGTTTAAAAACAACAGTGCAGGCTGGATGTGGTGGCTCGCACCTGGAATCCCAGCACTTTGAAAGTCTGAGGTGGGCAGATCACCTGAGGTCAGGAGTTCAAGACCAGCCTGACCAACGTGATGAAACCCCCATCTCTTCTAAAAATACAAAATTAAGTGGGCGTGGTGGCTCGTGTTTGTAATCCCAGCTACTTGGGAGGCTGAGGCAGGAGACTCGGTTGAACTTGGGAGGCAGAGGTTGCAGTGAGCTGAGATCATGCCATTGCACTCCAGCCTCAAAAAAAAAAAAAAAAAAAAAAATCAAAAAACAGAAGAGTGAAACTCCGTCTCAAAAAAAAAAAAAAAAAAGGGGGGCAATAGTGCAACTTACCGTTTTGCGAAGCTGGCCCCACATCAGAAGACCATACAGAGATGGACTATGGAAATTCCTTTTTAAGCACCGAAACAGTTAATGGTGAAGGATGACTTCAGATCGTGCCTTGTGTTTGGCTTTTCTGTCTTTTTGTTATTAACTGTGTCATTCTTTTTGTAATGTGTGCTCCTTACAACTATTCCTTCTCGATCAGGTTGCCAAATTTTTCTGGCAAGTTTCTGTGAAGCAGCGTTAAAGATTTTTATAAATATGAAACTTACCTGTTAAACTACCACCTGCTTCATGTTAGCTGAGTTGCAGGTGGAATGTTAAAGGAAGCTGTAGCCTTTTCGGCATTTGCAAAAGCATGTTCATGCTGACACTGAATTTTCCTAGTCTACGTTAAATCTCTCAGAGTCTGGACCTGGAGGAGAGATGGTGTTCAAATTCTGGCCTGCATCAGAATCACCTGGATAGCTTGTTATTATATATTATTGATGGATTGATTAATTGAGATGGAGTCTCACTCTGTCTCCCAGGCTGGAGTGCCATGGCCTGATCTTGGCTAACTGCAACGTCTGCCTCCCGGGTTCAAGCAGTTCTTCCACCTCAGCCTTGAGTAGCTGGGATTACAGGTGGGTGACACCATGCTCTGCTAACTTAAAAAATAATTTTAGTAGAGATGATGTTTCCCCATATTGGCCAGGCTGGTCTCGAACTCCTGACCTCAGTCGATCAGCCCCCCTCAGCCTCCCAAAGTGCTGGGATTACAGGCTTGAGCCACTGTGTTGGCGGATAGTTTGTTACAGATTTTCAATTTTAGCAGGTCTGGGTGGAGACTCAGTATTTGCATTGCTAACACATCCCCAGGTGCTGCTGTTGCTGGTTCAGGTCGACAAGTAAAGACACACTGGAGTCAACCCTCACTAATTAAAGCGTGGTTCCTGGGGCAGCAGCCGTGGTATCACCTGGTGCTTAATAACAGGGCAGAATTTCAGGCCTCAGCCCAGGTCCACTGAAACTGAATCTGAATTGTAACTAGTTCTGTAGGTGGTGTGTATGGATCTTAAAGTTCAAGAGACACGGCGGAAAGTAGGAGTGAAGAAACTTTGTGTAAACACTTTTGGCATTCCAGGCCACACAGTCTCTGTCACAAATACCAGTTTCTTCCAGCATAGTGGAAAGGCAGCCGTAGATAATACGGAAATTGATGGGTGTGACTGTGCTCCCGTAAGAATGTATTTAGAGATTAAACATTTTTTAAATTTGAATATTATAGAATTTGCGTGTGTCATGTAATACTCTTTGTTTTCAACCATTAAAAAATATGAAATCCGGTTGAGTGTAGTGGCTCATGGCTGTAATCTCAGCACTTTGGGAGGCCATGACGGGCGCGTTGCTTGAGGATAGGAGTTTGAGACCAGCCTGACCAACATGGTGAAACCCTGTCTCTACTAAAAATATAAAAATTAGCCAGGCATGGTGGTGTGCACCTGTGATCACATCTAGTCAGGAGGCTGAGGCAGGAGGATCGCTTGAACCCGGGAGGTAGAAGTTGCAGTGAGCCAAGATCATGGCACTGTACTCCCGGCTAGGTAAAAGAGTGAGGCCTTGTCCCCCACAAAAAAACAAATTAGCCAGGCGCAGTGGAGCATGGCGGTCATCCCAGCTTCTTGGGAGGCTGAGACACGGGAATCGTGTGAACCCGGGAGGCGGAGGTCCCACTGAGCCAAGGTCATACCACTGCACTCCAGCCTGGGCAACAGAGCAAGATGCTGTCTCAAAAAAAATAAATCCATTCTGAGCTCATGGGTCATACATGGTCCTCAAGCCATTGTTGGCCAGCCCCTGGCTTAGAGGAATGTTCTGAGAGTTAGGTCACCCGCCACATTCTACTGCCAGCTCACAGTGGGACCCCAGAGCTGGTTAGCTCATCTCCCTGGCTCCAGATTTTGTCATGTGGAAGATGAAGGGGTTAGATCCCAAGCATGTCAAATACTGGGCCCTGCCCTCCCTTCTCATGCCCACAGCATACCTCCACAGCCACTCATGGTGTTTCCCACTGAGTTATATTCAAGCAGCCCTCCACGTGACTGCTGCCAGTGGATGGAGTTGAGCAAGAAATGGCATCTTGTTGCTCTTCGGCGACTCCGGGTTCCCTTCCAGCTCCAGTGCCCCTGCATTCTGCCATGTACATCGCTTTCTTCTTACGCTCTGGTCCCTTGACTTGACCGGGGTGCTTTGATGAACTCTCTTGATGTTTTTTCAAATTTTTTTTTTTTTTTTTTTTTGGTATTTTTAGTAGAGACGGGGGTTTTTCCATGTTGGTCTGGCTGGTCTCGAATTCCTGCCTCAACCTCCCAAAGTGCTGGGGACTATAGGCATGAGCCACCGCGCCTGGCCTTTCTTTCTTTCTTTCTTTCTTTTTTTTTTTTTTTTTTTTTTTAAGAGATGGAGTCTCGATCTCTTACCCAGGCTGGAGTGCAGCGGCGCGATCTTGGCTCATTGCAACCTCTGCCTCCAAGGTTCTAGCAGTTCTCCTGCCTCAGCCTCCTGAGTAGCTGGGACTACAAGGGCAAGCCGCCACGCACCAATAATAACCTTTTGTATTTTTAGTAGAGACGGAGTTTCACTGTGTTGCCCAGGCTGGTCACGAACTCCTGACCTCAGGTGATCCACCTGCCTCAGCCTCCCAAAGTGCTGGGATTACAGGCGTGTGTGCCACCGCGCCTGGCCTCTACTTGTTTTTTAAAAGTAAAAGTAATATCAGACTGGATGGGAGGTATATAGAATGTTTATTGTTTCTCCTTATTCAATAGTCTCTGCTAAGTATAACTACGAAATACTTGCTTTTGTATGTGTGATAGGTCTTACCTTATTTTTTCAAGACAGAGTCCTGTTCTGTCGCCCAGGCTAGTGTGCAGTGGTGCAGTCTTAGCTCACTGCAACCTCCGCCTCCTGGGTCCAAGCGATTCTCCTGCCTCAGACCTTGAGTGGCTGGTATTACATGTGTATGCCACCATGCCGACCTAATTTTTTTGTGTTTTTAGTAGAGATGGGATTTTGCCATGTTGGCCAGGCTGGTCTTGAATTCCTGGCCTCAAAGAGATCCACCCACCGTGGCCTCCAAAAGTATTGGGATTACAGGCATGAGCCACCACGCCAGGGTGGTCTTTAAAAAATAGTAAGTGATGGATTTGCATGGTAAAACTTAATTAAAACTGCACCAGATGCTATTCATACAGCGGGGCTTTGGGGCACGCAGCAACCTCAGCCTGCTGACATTCGCCAGCAGGTCATCCTTTGTCCCTGTGTTGTAGGGCCTGTCCTGCGCATTGTAGGATGTTTCTCGGCTTCTGTGTCCTCCATCTGCCAGATGCTTAGTAGTGCCTCTCCTGGATCTTCCCAGTGGCGACAGTGGAAAATGGTTCCGGGCATTGTGAAGTGACAAAATTCTCTCATTTGAGAGCCACCTTCCATAGGGAAAGGCCCAAGCCCTTCCTCCTAACTCACCAGTCACCTTGCTTTCCTCTCTCCGTGTTTCGTGTGTGTTCTTCCAGAGACTGTCTGTTTTCACTGTAATGGTGGATACATGTCATACGTGTAGTTATACTTACGTGATTCTGTTTACTTTGTCACAAGTGACAGTTAATCATATAGAAATCCATGGCCTTTTTTTTTTTTTTTTTTTTTTTTTTTTTGAGACAAGGTCTCATTCTGCCGCCCGAGCTTGAGTGCGGTGAAGTGATGTGAGCTCACTGCAACCTCTGCCTCCCAGCCCCAAGTGATCCTCCCACCTCAGCCTCCCACGCAGCTGGGGCTACAGGCACACACCACCATGCCCAGCTAAGTTTTGTGATTTTTGCAGAGATAGGCTCTCAGTTTGTTGCCCAGGATGTTCTCAAACTCCTGAGCTCCAGCAGTTTACCCGCCTCTGCCTCCCCAAGTGCTGTGGTTGCAGGTATGAGCCACTGCACCCGGCCTTGATGGTGTTTTGGAAGGCCTTCTCTTAGAGGGAAAGATCCAAAGGCAGAGGGAGCTGGTGATGTGCTTTGGTCTTCGACTGGTGCCCGGTAAGGTGGGGATATGGGTAGTTTTCTCACAGCTTTTTGCTCTGCACATTGGATTCCTTGTCAAAACCTACAATTTCCAGCTTGTCACCAAACTGCTTATCACTTCCTGCCCTGGCCTGCATTAGGAAGCCACAGCAGAAGATGCTTAAGAGCAGGACTGGCTTTTCTTTTCTATCTTTTTTTAAAGAGACAGGGTCTTGTTTCTCTGCCTAGGCTGGAGTGCGGTGAGTTGATCACAGCTTACTGCACCCTCCAACTCCTGAGCTAAAGTGATTCTCCTGCCTCAGCCTCTCGAGTAGCTGGGACTACAGGTGTGAGATATTGAATCCCACTACCAGCTTTACTTAACCTTTTCTTGACCTTCCTTGCCATTCAGTTTCCCAGAGAGTGGGAACCGGTTGTGTTGATGAATTTCCAGAGACAGAGTTTGTTGAGCTGTTTGGCAAGAAACAGATGGGCCTGGGTGTCAGTTGGAGACCTTGGTCTTGGCCAGGCATCGAAGCCTCTGACTACATTAGGATAAAATATGTGGCCCTCAGTTCCCCTAGAAGGTGTTGGAGTGTTTTTTCCACTGGGGCATTCCTGTGCTTCGAAGACGATGAGGTGTTTACCCAGCGGTAGGTATGATGGAACACAGAGACCGGGGAAGGCCAGGGATTCCATCCAGAGGGACACATGGGACTATTTTTCTGGAATGCCAAGCCTGCTGTTTATCACGTCCACCTAATGCACTTTCCTAAAATAGCATCACCAGGCAGCCGTCAATATTTAACATTTTCTGTCTTGGATGATTTGTGAGCTTCTTGCCTTCTGTTTACCCTGTATCTCCTTTTGTTAGAATACTTCATCATTCTCTGTGGTAATGATCTGCCCCGTCGTTCTCTGTTGATCATACCCTAGGGCCTGTGGAGACATGGCCATGACCTTGTCGTTTCATTTACATATGTATTTATTTTTGAGGCAGAGTCTTGTTCTGTGGCCCAGGCTGGAGTGCAGTGGCACAGCCTCAGCTCATTGCAACCTCCACCTCCCAGGTTCAAACCATTCTCCTGCCTCAGCCTCCCAAGGAGCTGGGACTACAGGTGTGCACCACCCCACCTAGCTAATTTTTGTGTTTTTAGTAGAGACAGCGTTTCACCGTGTTGGCCGGGGCAGTCTTGAGCTCCTGACCTCATGATTTGCCTGCCTTGGCCTCCCAAAGTGCTGGGGTTATGGGTGTGAGCCACTGTGCCCAGTCAGACCTTGTCATCTTATGCTTATACCCTCAAAGCATAGGGAACTTGGCAAATGGTACATGCTCTGTAAATGTATGTGGATAAATGAATGAACACAGGGATGAATGAAAGGTTGAAATAAATCACATTAGTTAGAAACTGTCTTGGAAATGACAGAAACCTAGTTTACATCAACTAGAGTAAGAAAAGAGGGGGATTTTTGAGTCACAAAACTGAAAACTCTAGAAAAAGA